AGTCAGTGTGTGGCGCCATGACTTTTCGAGCTGGGGCTGCCCTTTAAATGGTTATCTGTAGGAGCCTTGGCACTCGGCAGTAGGTCAGGCGGTGCTGACGATGGAATGTCTGGAATGTTTGGAATGTGTGGTCGATGAGCGCATGCTGAATGCTGATAACAGTGATCAGTGAAGTGATAAATGAATACTTTGGAATTAATAGCACCATGGATCCGTCCTAAGGTACTTACATAAATACACATCACGCTTCATCGTAATGCTGTTTTTATGTCATGGTATGACAATATCATGTATATGTATAAACGATCTTTAATGCTGCTGAAAGGGGCCAAACTTTTGTCACTATACCCCATTTAAACAATTCGCCGCAATAGGTGCTGAAATTTGTGACAACTTCACCTACAATCCCTAGAAAGTCGTTACGCATTACAAGTATATTTGCACTCGTACATTACTGCGTGTTGCCCGAATCAACTATCATTCATCGGCAGTCAGCACCTTGGCAACGTTACGCTGAAATGCCGAAAGATAAGAATAGAAGGCTGGTCGTTTGTACTGAGAGATCGATAATGTTCTATAATGCCGCAATACATTTGAATACATGTCTTGCCTTCCCTAAGCTACTGAATTGATATTGCATTACATCGACATCGACATAAGGGGTATTAGAAAAAGTTCGCTTTGAACAGCACAGTGAAAAATCAAAGCCCGAGGAGTATTGAGAATTTAGAGAAACTTTCGAGGTATGCCCTCGCTGCTTCAGAGACAGTCTTTCTGGATCCGCTTATCCTCCCATATGACTCGGCATATACCCTATATACCATATAATTAAACATTCACCAGCTATTTTCCCGAAAACATTCTAACACGTCGGCAGTGACGCACACCGACTCGGTTCCTCCTCTTCCGCTCACAGCCCAACACTATACTTCTCCATCTGATTATACAGGTGTAACTGCTGGTAAGTCGACTTATCTTGGCGTCAGTCCGGGTGCCACGGACCCGCTGACATGGCGTCGGCTGGCTGGCCTGCAGGCCATGCACAGATCACGTGCAACTCTCCTGACCGGGCTGTGTGACCCATGTTCACCCCCAGGAACAGCCTTGACCCGCGCTCCGCCGGGTTCTGGGCTAATGGGCTGTAATTGGATGAGATTTACCGCGAGCGCTCACCGCATCACGAGCTGAACAGGCAATCGCACTCACTGTCAGCGCGATGGATGAAACACACTGAGAAACGGTGGCGAAACCATAGAGATCTTATATACATAGAGATGACACGCCTATGTTAAAGCACTTGATTTCGTGGCGATTCAGTGGGTCTTTTTAAGCAAGGTTTTCTGGGGTGCCATGGCCCGTGACTTGCATTTTGTAAGGATTCGGTCAAGGAGATTGTGTTCACATCCGCTTATTTTTAAGTACAGTTTTTCTTTTTTTTTGTCTAGCTGTGACGCTTTCGAGCGTTATTATTGAAATGAAATTAGGCATGTTTTAACCTTATGCTCGTATCAGGTACTGCATGTATCATTAACCCTCGCCGTCCGACGGGGGGCGGCGGGTGCCGCCTCCCTATAGGGTTTTTCACGATAGCTCCGAACACGCAGGCGATAGAGAGCTGAAACTTGGCATACCTGACCTTTGATCCAAGCCGCATCTTGTGACACCAACCGCATTTTCAGGTCAGGTCAGGTCACTGACCTGTGACGTCATAAGTGAACCTCTGCACAGTCCTCAGATGTCGCAACTTCGCAACGCCGTCAGTGCCAGAGGAACTTTCACAGGGAGATGAAACTTACAGGATGTAGTATCATCCAGAGGTCTCACAACTTGTACATATATCTCGGATTTTCCCTAAAAATCACATGAGGTCAGGTCGGCCACGTGACCTCACCATTAGGTATAAGTCAATGGGGAAAAATGAAAACTGCTATGTTAGCGCCGAGAACTATCTCAAACTGTCTCCAGCACATGGAATCGTGATTTCTAACACGCCTTGCAAGGTCCGATGCTTCACTTTTGCATTGTTGACATTGCGTGGCGTCATTTATGGTCACCTGGGTCATTGATTAAAGAAAGTGCGGTTTTGAGGCTCATGATTACATATATAACTGCAATGCAAACCGTAAGACGGTTTGACAAAAGTCAGTTTGTCAGTTTGGCCAACATGTCTTATTTTCTTGGCCCTATTTTGAATATAATTATTAGCATGAGGCTTACGGTTTTCATTGCAGTTATATACTTGGGTCATAAGAGTTTGTCATCAATAAATCTCCATCAAATTGAGTTAGCGAGTCGGGAAAGCCACCAATATGTAAACTCAGGAAGACCTGCCGATTCGAGTAATATGTAACATGAACTCTTTCAACCAGCTTCGTGATCTGGGGGAGCTGACCTGCCCTTGACCCGAGGTCAACACCTCAAGTTGACCTCACCCGAACAAAAAGTATACCATTCGACACGCCTGAGCGAGACGGACACGATGATGCCAAAATCGCGGCTCTTCGACCGTTTTTTTCGAAGTTATGAAAAACTGAACCCTGGCCCTTGGTCACTTGACCTGACCTCATGAGACCTTAAAATCGGGTACCAGTCCCTGCGTCTTGTAACGGCGCACACGCTTGTTTTTTCCGCGACGCTCTAGCTTCATCAGGGGCGAAACGGCGAGAGAAATCGTACCCCCCCCCCCCCCGGCCGGCGCGTATGTAGAAAACCAATAGGTCCGGCGAGGGTTAATGTATCATTGAGTGGGAACATGCAACATATGTATATTTGAGCTTGCACCGTGTTCAGAAAGGTTCAGAACAGCCGTTTTCACGACGGTTGACCGAAAGCGCCAAACTTGACCAAATCTCAAGGAACCTACCCTGAAAATTCCATGAACCTGACCCAAATGACCTTAGACCTGTAACCTTTTTTTGGGAAGACCATGTCAGGGGGGCCATAAAACATGCATCGCACAACCCTAGTAAATAGTAAAGTTGGTTCATGTGCTGACCCTTGGTGACCTGACCTGTGACCTGACATGGTATTATCAGTGACCTCTAATAGCAACATATATACTAGGCAACGTACGCCCTATTTTTAACGTACGTGAAACATTTTATCTTTGACCTGACCTGTGACGTCATCGGTGACCCCGAGGTCAATGAAATTGGAGTTCCGTCGACAAATTTGACAGGGCTATCGAACATCGTTTGAATGCTACGGATCCGTCCAGTAGTTTCGGAGATACGGGAGGGGGCAAAAAATGCCCCCCCCCCCCCTCCCACCGCGCGGAAGGTGGCCGGGAGGTCCACCGCCTGCCGGGTTGATGAGAGCCTGAATGAGAGAGAATGTTTTTAGGCGAGCTTTTAAGGAATTCAATAAAAACACAAAATGCAATCATGCTACAAATTTCATTGCTTACCTCAGGAATGAAATCAGCCAGGAAAGAACAGCAATATTTTTAACCAGTAAAACGCCTTTTGGGGCGACCAACGGAGCGAGCGAGAGGGTGGGCCCTGGACAAGCGAATTTGCAAGGGACACCTCCAACTAACTTGTGCACTGCACCCTACTAACCGGTCCCTAGCGATGTGCCAAATTTGAGCGCAATCGGCCTAGCCGTTCTCGAGATCTGGAAGCGGCACCCTGCACGTGCACACGTGCAAAATGGGTCACAACTGACTTGTGCACGGCACCCTACTAACTGGTCCCTAACCATGTACCAAATTTCAGCACAATCGGTTCAGCCGTTCTCGAGATCTGGAATCGACCCCTGCACGTGCGCACGTGCAGCAGCACCCCAACTGTGGCACATGGATATGCATTGCCTAGTGGGTGCCTACCTGCATACCAACTTTCAGCGCAATCGGCCAAGTAGTTACCAAGATATTGCAACAATTGCAAAACTGACACCTCTTCGTTTTGCACGTGGCACGTGCATAAGCGGTCACCCACATGCATCGAGAATAGGCCAATGCTTGGAAGAAGGAATGAAGCTACCCTAGAAAAATCATCGAATGTAAATCGGTCAAGTGGTTGCTGAGATATAAGCCTCGCAAAAGCGTAACCACGGCCGGCCGGCCGCTCATACTCAGAAATTTCCCTTTATCTTCGAAAAACTACGCTTGCTTCGCTCGCTACGTAATAATTTCTTCAGACTAACAATGCCTCAGCCATATTGGCACGCTACTGGCTGAAAATAAGTTGCTTAAAAAGACCCACTGAATCGCCACGATTTTAAGTGCATGTCATCTCTATGTATATAAGATCTCTATGGGCGAAACCCCGGTCAAATTACAGCGGCACACGTCAGCAGTAACAAGATCGGGCTAGATTGATGTTTGAGGCATGGAGTTGCCGTTGATACCAACACACCCTTTGCTGCAAAAGTCTGTAATATGACTTAGAAATTGTTATTGATGTTTTTAGGACCTTGGCTATAGATGTACCTATTTATAATAAATGTAGAATTATAAACACAAAAGTAGCGTTGTTCACACATCCGCAATCTCTAACAAAATCTCACTACCAAAGTTCGATCAAGAAAAAGAGAGAGAGGGAGAGAAAGAGAGAGGGAGAGAAGGGAGAGAGGGGGAGAGAAAGGGAGAGAGAGATGGAGAGAGAGAGAGGGAGAGAGAGAGAGAGAGAGAGAGAGAGAGAGAGAGAGAGAGAGAGAGAGAGAGAGAGAGAGAGAGAGAGAGAGAGAGAGAGAGAGAGAGAGAGATGCTGGAGTTGCCTAAATGCAGGAGCACTGGAGTCATCTATGTTGCATACTATCCTAACCACAACGAAAGTTAAAGTTGGGCCTGCCCTGGTCCCTCTTTTGTAAGTGGAGTCAACAGCGTGCTCCACCTTCATAACATACCCTATCGTTTACCCGCCGCCAGCCATGCAGCACTACAGAGACACGGTTCCTGTATCCAGGAATGTTAGGCGTCATCAAATGTAAACAGATGCCTTCTGTGCCCTCTGCGGGGCCGGCCAGTCGAGCTGTACCGGTCAGTTGGTGGTGCAGTGGGCCGCTGGTCGCTGGGGCTCAGTCCGCTGCCCGCTGGTTCAGTCGCTTCCCATCTGCTCAGTGCCCTGTGTCTGACAGAAGAAGAGCGCAATGGTCGGCCGCGGCTCGGCGCCGCTCTGGGCCGTGCTGCTTTGTCTCAGCGCGCGGCTCGTGACCGGCGACCAGGACCAGCAGCCCTCGGCGCAGCTGAGCTTTACGCCCGACGAGCTGTGGAAGTTCATCGGGCAGGCGGTGAGGTCCGAGGTGCAGCTGATCTTCGGAAAACTGGACCTGGAGAGGCGGCTGGAAACGCTCGACTTCAGCGTGACGGCACTGGAGTCGAGCGTGGAAGCGCTAAATTCCCGGCAAAATGCACTCGATGCCAGGGTGTACGCGACGGATACCAGGCTGAACTCAAAAGGAGACACGCTTGATGCGAGAGTTGATGACCTGGCTTCGCAGTTGTATCGTCGTGGCTCTGAGTCGGATACAATCGCCGCTAGGCTGGACGATCAAAATCATTCGCTGAAAACATTGGGCGCATCTATTGAGAGCTGCCAAGTTCAAATGTTAGAATGGACAATAAAACTAGACCATCAGCAGTCGAGTCTGGAGGACCTCGCCAAAAAGGTGAGCCAGAATTCGGTCAAGTTAAATGCGACGAGCGGCCTCCTGAACCAGTCTTTGCAATCCTATTACATGGAGGGTAATCCAAACGATTGGCGTCCACGTATGGAAGAGCTGGCCGAAGAAGTAAATAACATAACCTCGCGCGTGAACAAGATGGCCGCCAGCGGGCCTCAGCTGGAGCAACTGACGACCAGAAACGACATGCTACAGCTGACACTAGATGCGGCCAGCGCCGCACTGAACGCCAGTCGGGGTCAGCCCGCCACCTCGCTGCCCCGAGACTGCAGTGAGCTGCCAGCGGGCACCGCCAGCGGCATCCACCTGCTGCAGCCGGGTCTGGACCGATCCGTGCCACCCACCCCGGCCTTCTGCGACCTGGAGTCGGACGGCGGCGGCTGGACCGTCGTCCAGCGGCGCGCCGACATCCAGCCCCGACAGGAGTTCTACCTCGGCTGGCAGGCGTACCGCGAGGGCTTCGGCGAGCTGGATCGAGAGTTCTGGTGGGGCCTGGAGTCGCTGTGGAGGACGACCGGCTCGCGGGACCGCCGCTACCAGCTGCGGATCACGCTGGGGGACTTTGACGGCGAGAGAAGGCACGCGGTGTACGGCACGTTCAGGGTCTCCTCGGAGGCGGATGGGTACCGGCTGGCCGTGGGTAACTACTCGGGGGACGCAGGAGACGCCCTCAAACGCCATAACGGGTACCGCTTCAGCACAAAGGACCGGGACAATGACGGGTACTCACTCTCCTGTGCTACAACACACCGAGGGGCGTGGTGGTATGAGGCGTGTTATGATTCCAATTTAAATGGACAACCACTGGTTGGACATAACACAGGTCAGGGTGGAATTAGCTGGAATAAGTGGAGAACTTGGGATTACTCTCTGAAAGCTGCCGAAATGAAGATTCGACCGCAGGCACAAACCAGGACTTAAATGTGTTATGGTGGTCTCTTGGGCTTTGCGAGCAGCGATCTTTATGACATATACTTCGGCTTAATTGTATTTGTCAGGTATATTTACAAGTTTTCATGTGAATATCAAGCTACACTATCAGCGTTTTTTTTCTGTTTCTGCGGGATGTCGGTTTCCACGGTATTTTTTCGGTTTCTTCGTTTTTCGTTCCGGGCGGCCTCCGCGTGGACTCCACTATGCCATAAAAAACACCTTTTTATGGCATAATGATGGAGAAGTGATCAAAGTATTAAATTATTTATGTTAAATATAACGTGTTTTCACCAAACTATAGATAAATAATAATATTAAAATTTCTACAAATGCCAAGAATATATTTTCGATCATAAACATTTGTCAGCTTAAATACAATCATCATATTTCAAGTACCTAAAACGCTTGCTTTTGAAACACATCTTGTCTTTTTCATTCATGGATCGCCCCATTTTCATTATTTTCATTTTAAAATGTTCCATCATTGCACAATATCATTGGCAACAATCACTTCTAATCATGCATCATTTAAAACGAAATCCCGCAGAAACCGAAAAAAGTTCAAAGCTCTGAACTTTTTCGGTTCTGACTCGTCGGTTTTTGCGGGTTTTCGTTCCATGGGACGCCAGACTGGCGTGTAGCCTGCCCAAAGCATTCGCTCTGGGACGAATTTTACGACGCGAACCGAAATCCCGCAGAAACCGAAAAAAAAAACGTCGAAATTCATGCTAGTGTAGCTTAGGCTTAAGGGGTTCGCTTAAGAAATTAACTGTGTCCTATCGTAACGCATTGCTGAGCTGCTTCCGTCGTTTTGGTATGCACAAAAATAATGACACCCATTATGCGTGTTTGCTTGTGCAAAAATGATATACTATTAATGGGTGTCATGTCACACGACTTTCAGAAAAAAAAAATTCAATGCCTGCCAGAGCTACACCTAGTGACTTTGAAACTTTCAGCAATCGATAAAAACAACATTATTTACAAAATGTATATCTCGTAAGTTTGATATCGGTAACTTTAGGTCAGGTCACCTTTGCAATTTCCCCCTTATCAGTCCATGCCCATTGGAGAAAATTAAAAGGCACCTCTCTTGGACGAATGTCATTCTAAACACGTTCAATCATTGATTTACAAGTAAATATGACACACTAAACCGGAAACTGGCATCTGTGACCCCTTTTTACCTGTGACCCCTGAGGTCATCTCAGGTCTCGAATAGTATCTAACAGTTTTATTTCGCTATAACTGTTATTGTGATGTCTTCTCACGACGGTATTCATTACAAGTGATTCTGTGAGAGCAATCTATCGTGTTCGAGACGGACGCGTCGGCAACTGCACTTCCGACTGCCGGCTACCTGTGAACAGCAGCGTCCGTTAGCGACTATTCATAGTAGGAAGCTGTTTGTGGCCGCTTCGAACACCGCGATATAACGGGCTCATGGGATGGTTAGATAACGTACCGTCACAGCGGCAAACCATCTGAGAAGTTGCAGAAAAATATTCGAGGATTTTCACATGAAGCCTGACCAGAAAGTGCGGTGAAGCCCGTGAAGCCCCACCCCGCCCACACGTGCGGGTACTCCTTTACTGGTCGAGTCAGCGCTGTCGGTATAAGTTCCACTCAGTGTTGTCGGTAAACAGAAACCCCGGAGTTTCTGGTCGCTCTCCAGGGGTGATGTTGTACCCTTTCCCGTCGACCCCCTATGTGGGGGAGCCCCGGGAGGGGAATATCAAGTATCCGTCTCTGAGACAAATATCCGCCGACCACCGGCAGCGGTCAGATCCGAATTACCAGCGGATGGTCAGTCTGGGCACTTGGGCAGCCACATCCGTCTGTTGGGCCGACTCGCGAAACCGAAATAACATCCGTTCATCATCCGTAGATAACTGTACGGAACAATCCCAGACGAACTCAGCGTTTTCAAACTTGTAAAAACGTCTGGAAAACTGGAATATTTAGTAACGAACAAAGTTTTGGAGAAGAATTATTTAGATGTATTCAGTTTGCTGCCTAATGTTATACAACATAATCGTATAGCACCTCGAAAATGAGCAATGAACATTGAACATATGTTAGCCCGCGCCCTGGTGTGGGTCTGAGCCACCTTCGCCCTGGTGGGGGGGGGCCAAAATGACCCCCCCCGTCTAACTCGAAAACGAAGAGGGCTAGGAAGACGCGGAAAAAAACAAACGAAAGACCATAACAAGTACGTTCGAAAGTATTTCGGTCATTTTTTCGCTAAGGTCAATATTGAGGTCGCTAGAGGTCATCATAGGTCATATTTCAGTGTTTTCGGTGTTGCCGGACATATTCCGCTGTAGCTCGGAAACTAGAAGAGCTAGAGAGCCGCGGAAAAAAGCAATCGATAGCTCTTTTCAAGATCTTTCGCCAAGGTTCGTCAGATTTGACCTCAGCTTAACGGTTTGGCCTACAGAGGTCATGCAAGGTCAACTTGGCAAATTTTGTTGAAAATGTTTTTAACTATAGCATGCATTCACGAGGAAATAGAGAAACGATTCATGCACCATCGTGCTTGGCTCGTCGAGACGCGTCGAATGATATATAGTTTGACCTCGAAAGGTCATTTTGAAAATTTGACCTCAGGTCAAGGTCATGACCTTACCGAAATAGGTCATGCTGCATATCATTCGATCCGCATTGACGAGACAAACACGATAAACGTCGAACGGAGTCTCTATCTCTATTCAATAACAAGTAAGTGCAGAAAAACCGCTGGTGACCTCTGGTGACCAGGGAGATGACCTAGCGTGACCTCAGCGAGGTCACAAGCAAATGGTTTCACATGGGCTGTGATTTGCTGACCCAAGACACTTCAATAACGAAATATAGGATCAATCACGCCCGATTTAGCTGAAAAACAACTACTTTTCGATTCTCCCATTGACTTATAATGGGGAGCAGCGATGACCTGACCTGACCTTAGGTCACATTTATAAAAAATCCGAGATAGCCATTTCGTAGAGCTGGGTGACATCTTCAAGTACTGTAAATTTTACATCGATCGGATAAAAGCTGTGCCTTTGAGAGAGCTTTGAACTTTTTTAGAGGTGGTGTCAGTTTTGGTGACCTTGTGACCTGACCTGACCTGACCCGAACCCCCCAAAACAGGACATGATGTAAAAATGTTGAATAAACAGCTATACAAAGTTTCAGGGCGCTAACTCAAGTGGTTTCTGAGTTATCGCTGAAAAACCACAGGGGGGGGGCCAAAATGGCCCCCCCCCACCAGGGCGAAGGTTAGGCAGCAATAGCCCGTCGACCTAAATGGGACTTCAAAGGCAGTTATAGACTTACTTCAGAGCCAGGCGAGCACCCATGAAGCATAGACTTCTCTATGAAGCAACCACCGCTGCCACGTTCCCACCATATAAATCAAACGCGCGCGCGCTGATTCAATTTACGAAACCCGCCACTCTGCGGGACGGCCTCCTTTCGTCAGAGGACGGTCGGCTCCTCAGAGGCCGTCTCTGTGCGGTGGTCCGAGACCTCTGAAACCCCTGGGACCTCCGAGACCCCTGGGAGCCGGGCCGCCAGCCTTGACCCTGCCCCGTGCCACGCGCGACCCACTCGCAGCGATGGGACTGACTCGTGTCGGGACCCCGTCGTCCCATTATGGTAATCCAGGCCGTGAGTCTCCGGTGGGTCGACAGCTGAGGTACCCAGACTGAGCGGGAGGCCGGCTCTTAGAAGATGCGCGTGTCACGAGCTGTGATAAATGCACGCCTAAATATCTTACAGGCAAAGTGAAAGAGTAAAATATGGTGAAACGGCAGTCATGTTTCTGGTTTTAAAGTCCCATTAAGGCTCTCGTTTTAGGGCACCGGAACAGCTAATTTACGACTTTTTGTGCCTTATTTTCATTCAATGACTTACCTATAAAACACCAGAGCAACACATATTTTCCCTTGTCGATCTGTCTGGTTGTGATAAAGTTCACGGCAGCTTTCCTGGTTCATTCGCGTTTATTAAGTTTTTTTTTTATGGAAACTGATGTTGAAGATCATATACAATTGAGTGCAGGCTTATGTTTTTGTCTGCCAGTGGTAAAAAAGCGATGTAATCAGCTTCACTTGTGTAATTCAGTGTCTCATGCATACATAATTGGAACAGCACACACGGCGCTAGAAACATACTAGAAACACACACAAAGCTATAGAAGCAAGCTTAGGCTAGCGAAATGAAGATAAAGAATGTCCTCTACCTCACACATGCTGCTATATCTTTCAGGCTCTAATGGCACCCATTTGCCTTTGACAAATGTTCCATTTAGCAGCAGCTGTTTCTGCGCTCTCTATGTATGTATGAGAGTCACCCTCTCACCCTCGGACACGCTGTGCGTCGCCTGTACGCGCCGGGGTCGAGTCACCCTGGCTGTGTGCACGTTAGACCGCCTCTGAGCGCCGCCAGCCCGAGTCAACACACTCGGTCAATAAACAGGGGATTACATCAAACAAAAACAGCAGGGCGCGCACTCTCCGCCGGACGGTGGGGAAATGAGAGGAGGGAAACCGGAGATGGTTCCAGACGTGGGACCTACCCCCTTCCCTAGCGGAGTCCGTGCGTAAGAGGTAAGCACTACAGTGGATTACACACTACACAGCACATTTGGTGTAAAATGTATAGGATGGAGGCAGTTGGTCCGTGTCGAACCCTCTTCAGCACTCTGAGCAAATGCTCACCGACACAGAAAATTGCCGCGGTATACGTAATTGAGGAACCCACGCCGTTTTTAAAGTGCTCTAATTCGAGGGTATCGCGCTATAAAAGCCAGGCTCACAGTCATCATTACGTCGGCTCTCAGAGGGTAACAAAAAACTGGCGTGTGTATAAGAAGCAGGCTGGACGAATGCATGGAACCACCGGGCTCTGCCACATATAGCCCACGCCACCCATGGAGCAGTCCGTCCGACATGTATGAACGGAGCTGACCTTGAGGTCACCGCGGCGTCGCCGACCTGCGTGACACGCCACAGAGGTCACCGAGTGGCTAATACCGTCACCGGATGTGGTCGGATCCATTCGTGGGACCCACGCCATCGTTAGGGTGGATGCCACCCCCGGTCGAGCTGTAATGTGCCTGCCAAGCTATTAAACGTCATATAACCTGCCGTTACGAAATGGAGCTGGCGCCGCCGTTAGGAAAGCCCCTCCGTCGAGCAGAGCGTCGCGCAGAGCTCATCTGCCTGAGAAATCTCAGCTGAGAAGTCCCACTCGAAGCGCGGCTGACAAATGTGCTCTTCGGATGAGCGCCGATGAAAATGTCTCGGTCGAAGCGACGGTCACAGATGAACCGTAGCGAAGGAAAGCCAACAAACGCTGAATGTGACGATGTGAAAATGATGGATCTCGAGAGAAAACGTCAAGACAAGGTGTAAAGCGAGACGAGGAGCGCAGAGCCTTTCGCTGGAGACCTGCTGTCATCATGTCCGTGCTGTCTCGAACTCAGTTTACCACTAAGTACGTCAATTCACTGGTTGTGTGCCCATGGCGTAGCAGTGCATTTTGGCTAAATTTAAACCCTGTGGTCTTGAGCACAAATCACGAACATCTCCCAGACAAAGTTTATGGCCAGCCGAAATGGTCGTCGTCCTTTTAACCGCGCCCCAAGACCGGATGCTCCCGTTCCAAACTGAAGCCGCACAGGGGAGGACAGATTGTGCCTAGCTGGTGGGCACAGGACGGGAGGGGACGGAGCGTGGCAGTGGGAAGGAGGGAGGGCGCTGATTAGCCGGGATTGTTGGCTTCCGGTGAGACCGCGGGTGCTTCTCTCACCCTCTCCCTCTCGGCGGGTGTAGACACAATATCCCTCCGTCTGTGGCGGGGAGGGGAGCGGCAGGGAGGGGCGACACGCGCCGACCACGCCGGGGGAGGGGCAGACAGATCAGTTGTCGCTCGTCCCCACCCCATGAAGGGCTCAATGAAGCCGCCGGCAGACGGCAGATGGGCGCCCGACGCACTCTGTGAAAGGTGGGGTGGGTAGTGGAGCAGAGAGGTCGGCAGAAAAGGGTCTGTGACCGCTGATTATAGGGCTGTGATCATAGACCATTAGAGGGAGCGTGCATAATCCGTTCACAGCCGCTGTGCTTGTCTATACGTCGTCACACAGGAC